TCGCGCCGCCACGTCACTCCTGCCGCTGCGTCACGGAGACGTCCCCGCAGTCACAGAGGATTTAGTGCGCGAACAAGGGAAGATGCTGACGAGGAGACTCGCGTTCGATGAGGAAGCGATTCACGCGCTGAAAGCCAAAGCGAAGAGCGATGAGATACCCAACCCGACCCGGACGGAGGCGGTTGCTGGTTTTTTGTGGAAGCACGTGATGAGCGCAGCCGCCAGAGCAGCGTCACCCGACGGGTCAAACACCAGATCAGTTGCCTCAGTTGCAGGTAATGCCAAAATATGTATTCTAAATGTTTAAATGATGCACAAACCTTAAAACGCAAACAACCTTTTAACTCGAGTTATTGTAGCCAATTGACTAACTTTTATTTTATGCATGTTTTTTCATAGCGATGGTGGTTAATCTCCGATCTCGAATGAATGAGCCATGGCCAAATTACTCCATTGGCAACATAATTTGGGCAGCTATGTCGTTCCACCACCATGATCAACAACAAGAGTCTTTGGAAGATGGAACAAAGACAATACAAGAGTTGGTCCATAAACTGAGGAGTTCAGTTGAGGAAATTGATAAGGAGTTTATAGGAAAGTTACAAGGCAGAAATGGGAGACAAGAATATATGAGGAATCTAGAAGCATTATGGAAGCCGACGATCACGATAGGTGCGTTTAAAAATGAGAGTATAATGGTGCCATTTAGGATATCTTCTACGATCGGACTGAAATTGTACGATGTTGATTTTGGATGGGGAAAGCCAACTTGGATCACCACGGCTCAATTCCCATGTCAAATCCCATATACGGCCACGTTGTTGCAATCCCCGGTTGGATATGGTGTTGAAGTTTGGCTCACCTTGCTTGAAAAAGAAATGACCATACTGGAACAAGAAGTCGAATTCGTTACTTATGCGAAGAACAATATGCCTGTACTTTGAGCATTGTTTGGCCCCCTAGCTATTAGGTTTCATTGTCTTGAAAAATCTTCCAACAGTAGAACTTCATCAAAGAAGTTGTAGTTGTTTTCGTTTGTTAAATTGTATATCCGATGAATATGATGTTGTTGTTTTTCTTCTACTTCTCCATAGCTAAATGGTCCGTTGAAGGATTAACTAGTATACGGTATACCCGTAATGGTTTCAGCGTTTCACTGTCAAAGTTGAGACATGACTAATGGATCATGGATGCATGTTTTTTTCTTCTTCATGAGTGACACTTGATTATTCCATGTTCGTTATACATGTTGAATCTTCATTTACTGTTGCACTTGTTTACGTAGATGATATAATTCTTGCTGGAAATGACATCATTGCTATCCAAAACCTTAAAACCAGCCTAGACCAAACTTTCACAATAAAAGAACTAGGTGAACTTACCTACAACTAATATTACAATCTACCCTATCAACTATACATATGTTTCAGTTAAGTCTTCGTCTTTTTGTAGTCTCGGACAACTCCATCATCGGAAGCCTGCACCTCCTGATCATCGGAAATCTGCCTCCACTTCAACGGCTGAGACAACTCGCCGAGAAATACGGACCGGTGATGCAGCTCCAGCTCGGGGAAGTGACCAACGTCATCATCTCCACTCCCGAGGCCGCGAAGCTGGTGATGAAAACCCACGACCTCGTCTTCGCTTCCAGGTCGGCTCCCCACCAGCTGGTGGCCCCCACCACCATCTTGTACGGCTGCAACGACGTCGCCTTCGCGCCATACGGGGACGACTGGCGGCAAATGCGGAAGGTCTGCATCTTCGAGCTTCTCAGCGCCAAGCGCATGGCATCCTTCCGAAATGTCAGAAGCCAGGAGATCTCCAAACTCGTCGCTGCCATCAGCGAATTCGTGCATGGGAATAATAATGAAGCCGCGGTGAACATGAGGAGGCTGCTGGTCCCCCTTTCAACTTACCTTTGAGTCCTGATGCTGAAGGGATTGCAGACCGAAGAGAAGGTTGAAGACAAGATACAAAACGGAGCGTTTTATGTGTAATAAGTTTGTTATGCCTAAAACTATGTCGTTTCCTTTAAAGGCTTGTTAGCCGTTATTAGCCGTTGCTAAACACTGTTTTGGGTTTGTAATAGGCCGGTTGTTGATTGCCAAGTGGCAATCTGGACTAAGCTGATTTCCTCAGCTCATATATATACTGCAAACAGAGCAACCCTGCAGACTTGAGGGTTTTGCTTTTACCCTAGCAAATTTTCTCCATATGGTATCAGAGCGGCGACGCATCTAGGGTTACAATGGCAAACACACCACCACAGTCAAGCCATGGAAAGGAAGCTGCAACTGGATCAGCAGCCTCAGGAGCAACAATGTCTGGTGTTCGAGGTTTCCAGTTTGGTACTTACACTGAGACCCAGCAGCAGGAGCAGCAGCAACAAAACACCATCAGATCTGAGGTGATAACCTTTGGTAACCCTTTTTACTTGAACCCTAATGAAGCACTGAATCAGTCTATAGGTTCAGAGGTGTTTGATGGGACGAATTACATTATGTGGAGTAGATCTGTCATAATGGGTTTGAAGATGAAACATAAGATGGGTTTTATCGATGGAAGCATTCCAATGCCTCCAGTGAATGATGACACATTTCTGCTTTGGGATGGATGTAACACAGCTGTGTTATCATGGATCTTGAATTCCTTGCACAAAGATCTTCGACGTTCTGTGATGAATCATGTTAGTGCTAAGGTACTGTGGGATGAGTTGAAAAGGAGGTATGGTAAACCCAATGCCATACGAATCACAAACCTGGAGGATGATATCCACAAGTGCAAGCAAGGGAACCGCACTATCAACCAGTATCACAATGAGATTAAGGGAATTTGGGAAGAACTGGCACAATTCAGTCCCATAGTTCCATGTAATTGTGCACCTGGGAATGTGAATCCATGTGATGCTGTTGTAGCCTACACAGAGAGGCAGGAAACTGATTATCTGATCAGGTTTCTCAGGGGTCTGCATCCAGACTATGAAATTGTCAAGAGTCAGTTGTTATCTCGCAAACCACTACCCACTGTGTCTGAAGCAGTGGATGATCTGCTCCAATATGAACAGAAGCTGAAAGCAGAAACTCATGGTGGAAGGAAAGGCCAAAGTGTGGCATTGGCTGTTGAGACTGAGCAAGATGAGAGACCAAGAGGACAAGGGAAGAAGTTTTGCATCTTCTGCAAAAGAACAAATCATAATGTTGAGCAGTGTTGGAGAGCTAAGAAGAAGAGAGAATCACAGAATGGAGGAGGATCTCAGGGCAATGCTTCCAGCTTTGCAGGATCAGTATCACAAGCAGGTTCTAGTGATTCAACTACTGAAGTAAGCTACTCCAGCTCGACTGATACACCAGGAGGTAGCCCAGTAAGTGCTTCTAAAACAGTGGTTGGTTTTACACCAGAGGAAATGAACAAGTTAAGAAGCATGATGCAATCTGGTACTGGTAACTTTCCTTCACCTCCAACCTCACCATCTTTGCCTCACCATGCCTACTCAGTCACTCAAATCCCTCCACCATATCCCAATTACTCAGGTAAATATAGCCTGTCTACCTCAAGTCAGTTTAACCAAACCAATTCTACAAGTCTTTGGATTCTAGATACAGGTGCCTCAGATCACATTTCTTGTTCATTAGCCTTATTTATAGAGCACAAACCAGTTCAAGATGTCTATGTGAATCTACCTAATACTACTAGGGTCCAAGTCACTCATATTGGCACAGTTAAACTGCCTACAGGCTTGATTCTTCACAATGTCCTACATGTCCCTAGCTTCTCTTTCAACCTTGTATCAGTTAGCAAACTTACCAATGATTGCCCACTAGTCTTACATTTTCATTCTAATCTGTGTCATATCCAGGACCAGTTAAGCTTGAAGATGATTGGTTTAGCAAGAGAGCATATAGGCCTTTACCATCTCACCTTTCCACCAAACCAAGACCAGAAGCCAGACCACCAAGCAGCCACCATCTTCAATTTCAATCCTTTGCATTTTGATATTTGGCATTGGAGATTAGGACATGCCAGTAGTGATAGAATTTCCATGTTGCAGAAATCAAATTCCACTGTAACTAGCTCTAAGATTCTACACTGTGATGTATGTCATTTCTCAAAACACAAAAGACTCCCTTTCCCAACCAGTACCAGTATTGCAAAATGTCCTTTTGACTTGGTTCATGTAGACATATGGGGACCTTTATCTGTTCAATCCTATGATGGTCACTCTTATTTTCTTACTGTTGTGGATGATCATACAAGGGCAGTATGGGTTTACTTAATGAAACACAAACATGAAACAAGGGACTTGCTGAAAGGTTTCTGTGCTCTGGTTGAAAATCAATTTAATACTACTGTCAAGATAATTAGAAGTGACCAAGGGCAGGAATTTCATATGAAGGAATTCTTTGTGGAGAAAGGGATAGAGCATCAGATGTCTTGTGTAGAGACCCCAGAACAAAATGCCAGGGTTGAAAGGAAGCACCAGCACATTCTAAATGTGGCTAGGTCACTTAGATTCCAATCTGGTTTGCCCTTAACCTTTTGGAATGACTGCATTCTTCATGCAGTGTATTTAATTAACAGAATGCCAACCCCCATTTTACTTGGCAAATCACCATTTGAAGTACTTTACAACCATCAACCATTTCTTGGCAACCTTAAAGTGTTTGGTAGCCTGTGTTATGCCAGTACACTTGGGCATAACATGACAAAATTTGCACCAAGGGCAAGACAATGTGTTTTCTTAGGCATTCCTGCAGGAGTTAAAGGGTATAAGCTGCTGGATTTAGATGATAGGAGAGTCTTCTTATCTCGAGATGTTATCTTCTATGAAACAATTCTTCCCTTCAGAGATTGTTCAGATACATCAGACTCTCCCTCTCCTTCATCTACTTCCCCTCCTCCTCAGTCCTCAGCATCAGCTCCTCCTATCCTGGTTCCTACATCTTCACTTCCTACACCTTCAGCACCTGTTTCCTTTGATCAGGCCTCAGCTGCAAGGGGGGATGGTGATACTGATGATGATCCAAGTGACAGTGAAGATGCATCTCCTGCAAATGTCACCCCTGAACATGAAGCAGCAGCTCCTGAAGTTGCTGATCAGGATTGTGAGTTACTGCCACAAGCAGACTTTGAACCTCCACCAAGAAGATCACAAAGACAACCAGTATTACCTGCTAAGCTCAATGACTGTGAACTGGATCCCCAATTGACATTTGGTGCTTTTGGGACAGCAGCAAGCACAAGTAAGAATCCTATATCTCTAAATGTTGAATGCTTGAATGAGAAAGATAGGATATATGCTTTGAGTGTGCTGAAGCATGAAGAACCAACCTCATATCATGAGGCAGTTAAATCCATTGAATGGAATAGAGCAGTAATAGAGGAAATACATGCCCTGGAAGCAAACCAGACCTGGGAGATAGTTGAAGCACCACCAGACAAGCACATAGTTGGCTGTAAATGGGTATTCAAGCTTAAACTAAAACAGGATGGTACAATTGAGAGGTACAAAGCAAGACTAGTGGCTAAAGGTTTCACACAGATATATGGGATAGATTTCCTGGATACTTTTTCTCCAGTAGCCAAGATTAACTCAGTAAAGGCATTGCTAGCCATAGCTGCAGTCAAGAACTGGACTCTAGAGCAGTTGGATGTTTCCAATGCTTTCCTAAATGGGGATCTACATGAAGATGTATATATGCAGATACCTCAGGGAGTTGAGTTGCCACCTGGAAGTCCTAAGAGAATGACTTGCAAGCTAAAGAAGTCTTTGTATGGTCTTAAACAGGCCTCAAGGCAATGGTTTGCCAAGTTAACTGGTTTCCTGTTGAAAAGTGGATTCTATCAGTCAGCCTCAGATTATTCTATGTTTACTAAGTGGATTCATGGAAGAATTGTTGTCCTACTGGTCTATGTGGATGACATAATCTTAGCTGGTGATGCTCAGAAAGACATAGACCAGGTTAAAACTTCTTTGAGCAAGGAGTTTAAGATCAAACTGCTTGGACCTTTAAAATACTTCTTAGGGTTAGAAGTGAATAGGACAGCAGAAGGATTAATGGTTTGTCAAAGGAAATATTGCATGGACTTGCTTACTGATACAGGTTACTTGAATGCCAAAGGATGCAAGTCACCATCAGATCCAAAGATCAAGTTAACAGCAACACAAGGAACTTTACTTGATGATCCAGAACAGTACAGAAGGCTAGTTGGGAGGCTACATTACATAACTATAACTAGGCCTGACTTGACATATTCAGTGCAGCAGTTGTGCCAATTTCAGAAGAAACCCTACACAGAACACTTACAAGCAGCCTACAGAGTACTAAGGTATCTCAAATCATGTCCAGATCAAGGTATCTATTACAGCAGCAAGGCAGACTTGAAGCTTGTGGGATTCTGTGACTCAGACTGGGCCAGCTGTCCAGACACTCGAAGATCAACAACAGGGTATTGTACCTTCCTTGGAAGCTCACTTCTGACCTGGAAAACCAAGAAGCAGACAACAGTTTCCAGATCATCATCAGAAGCAGAATATAGAGCACTAGCTCTATTGGTTTGTGAAATTGACTGGTTAAGAGTATTGCTGGGTGAAATGGATGTCAAAGTTCCTCTTCCTGTTGCTGTGTACTGTGATAACAGGTCTGCAATCCATATTGCTGAGAACCCTGTGTTCCATGAAAGAACAAAGCACATTGAGATTGATATGCACGTTACAAGAGAAAGATTGAAGACTGGTTTGATCAAACTGTTTCATGTAAGTACAATCAATCAACTTGCTGACATATTCACTAAGGGATTGGACAGGAATCAGCTGAAGGATCTTCTGGACAAGTTGGGAGTGAAGAGAGCACTCACAACTTGAAGGGGGGTGTCAACTTACCTTTGAGTCCTGATGCTGAAGGGATTGCAGACCGAAGAGAAGGTTGAAGACAAGATACAAAACGGAGCGTTTTATGTGTTTTAAGTTTGTTATGCCTAAAACTATGTCGTTTCCTTTAAAGGCTTGTTAGCCGTTATTAGCCGTTGCTAAACACTGTTTTGGGTTTGTAATAGGCCGGTTGTTGATTGCCAAGTGGCAATCTGGACTAAGCTGATTTCCTCAGCTCATATATATACTGCAAACAAAGCAACCCTGCAGACTTGAGGGTTTTGCTTTTACCCTAGCAAATTTTCTCCATACCCCTGGCGAGTCGCGTGGCGTGACTTCGAGGTCGGCTTTCGGGGCGCTGGAGAACGAGATCGCAGAAGGGTTCTTGGCCGTGGTTGACGAGATCGTGAAGGCACACAACGGGCTGGGACTGTCGGATTTGTATCCTTCTTTGAAGTTCATCCCTGTGGTTACTGGGTTTCTACCGAAGCTGAAGTCGCTGCATGGAGCGGCGGATTCCATGTTGGAAGGAATCCTCGAGCAGCATCGAGCCAAGCGAGAAGAGAAGATTCGATGAAACTGAGGATATTGTCGACATTTTGCTCAACCTCTAAGTCTAAGAGACGGGGGACCTCCCGCTCCCCTTGACAACCGACGCCCTCAAAGCCATCGTTCTTGTCAGTATTATTAATCAATTATTTCATTCATAATTATTGCTTTGAAATTTAAGCCGTCATGAATTATGAAGTTTGACTTCTGCCTGAGATTTGACGGTTGAGCAATAATGAATTATCAATTACTAGCTATTTGTTGCTGGCTATGCATAGTAGAGGTGGAGGTTCGGTCGGTCGGTTCAGTTATAACCGAAAATTAAAGGGTCGGTTATCGGTTAACTGAATCAACTCCCAATATTACCGATCACCGACCGAAAATGGGATTAAAGCTTCGGTTATTTTGATTTTCGGTTAACTAAACTGCTCACAAGGCCAAAATCATCTCGTCGACGTCCATCCCTTCAAATACCAATTGATTTTTGATTATTTTGGTTTTCAGTTAGTGAATAACCGGCCGATTAATCGCTAACCGGTCACCAATTGGCCACTCCTGATGCCCAGCAGACCAATACTATCATCCTTTTAACTTTTCCAAGGGTTGGTTCCACAAAATATAATAGCATCTATGTAAATAGATGGTCATCTAATTGGTTTAATAGGCACTTTGGACAGGTGTCTTCACCACAGTTCTTTGTAACCAAAAAAATCTAATAGTACAATTGTTATAGAGAAGGTGTTTTCTAAATTCTTATATCAAGTTAAAAATTAATATTTTGGAGAGTGAAAATTTTATTATCTTTTATTTTGTTTTACTCTTGAACTGAATTCTAACTTCATTGTTTGCATACTAGGATATGTTTCCTGGTGGAGTTGAGACATCGGCAAGCACAATAGAATGGACTATGTCCGAGATGGTAAAAAATCCAAGGGTGTTGCAGCTAGCACAGGAAAAAGTGAAGGGAATCTTCCAGAGCAAGGGAAATGTTGACGAAAATCGACTCAATGAGCTAATCTACTTACATGCAATTATCAAAGAGACTTTGCGATTACACCCTGCCGGCTCATTAGTTCTCCCGAGAGAAATGAGAGAGACCGTACATATTTATGAGTTTGAGATACCTGCCAATACCAGGGTCCTAGTCAACGTATGGGCCATTGGAAGAGACCCTAGTTACTGGATGGATGCTGAAAAGTTTTGTCCAGAAAGGTTTCTCAACTCCTCGATCGAATATAAAGGAACAAACTTCGAGTACATACCATTTGATGCTGGGAGGAGGATCTGCCCAGGAATACAGTTTGGAATGAGTGTCGTTCAGCTCACGTCAGCAAATCTACTGTTTCATTTCGACTGGAAAGCTCTCAACGGATTGGAAAACCTTGATATGATAGAGCAATTTGGAATCACCCTCACAAGAAAACAAGTATTGCGACTCATCCCTATTGCACCAGATTATGCAATGCCTATGTTACCTTAGATTCACAAAGGCACCCAGACAATTATATATGGTGGCATTTACTCTTCGTTCGACTCTGTTTGCTTTTTTTTTTTTTTTTTTTTTTTTCTATTGTCCATGAACTCTGTTTTGCTTGTTCGAGGAAGCTTGTAATCTTGCAGTTCTTTGCAATTGCATCGTGCTAACCTCTAATATTGCACGCTACATGAACTAGTTTATGAAATTAATCACTTTTAGAATCTTGGTTTATTGGGACTTTGAATTTGTGATAAAATTCTGACCTCGAAACGACTGAGCCATGACCAGATTACTCCTTTCGCAAGTGGCAACGTAGTTTTGATTTTGGTTTTTCAACTCTTTTCTTTCGCTTCATTTAGGTTTTGCAGGCCTACGAAGAAATAGGGGCCTTCTGGCGGGCCTAGTTTCATTGGTAGGCTTGTTTCGGTCCGCACCTCTCGTACGTTCTTGTACCAGGAACACTTTTGTTGTTGTTTATTACAATCTACCCCTTATAAAAAAAAATCAACAACAGAGTGTTTTGAACGATGAAGCAAAAATAGGATTGTGTTGGCGCCTTGGCGGCTGTTGGGCCCGGGCTTGCAAATCGTTAGTTGTGGGCTTGATCCACTCCCATGGCCCGCTGGTTAGGCTGGATTCTGTACGGTATATGTGTGTAACTTCTGGTAAACCCATAACAGTACGGGTTAATTGATGGTATGATGATTCCGTACAAAATTCTAGTTTATTGTTTTGTTTGATGGACTCTAACACTAAACTTCTATTGTAAACTCTAGATTCTAATTTGTTCAAATCAAAATAAATTTTGAATGCTTTTGTGAAAATTAATATGTTTTTATTGTGCATCGTATCACAAGTGACAATTGAAATCGTTTTGACATAATAAATATTATGTTCAGAATGACGATTATGAGACGAGTGCATAAAATACATAAAAAAAAGTGAGTGTGCCAAGTACAAAACCATATATATCCCACGTGGGATTTACAAACATAAATTACAGAGTGGTGGTGACTAAACAACTCCACACCATACAAGTACATCCAACATGAATTGTGAATTTCGTAATCGCGATTCATTCTACTGCCGTGGATCATGAGATGCACTATCTAATAGTACAAACAAGTAGTTACTAAGACTCCTACAGTTACTAACCACGACAGTCATGAAAGATGCTGTTGAAAATCGGAGTACTGTGATTCTTTTTAGCAATTAGCATGTTGATTTTTTTTGGGTGCGGGAGGCCTATCCGGATTAACATGGCCACAACAAGATTTTAGGACCAATTTTTTTTTTTTTTTAAGAGGGAGGGAACGATGCTACCATTCCCATCTCACTAGAGCTAATTCGAGTTCTAATAATATTTCCACATGGATCATTGGCCAAGCTCATCAATTCATGAATCCTTCATTTTTGTGTCTGCCAAATGGTGTCAGCAGCTTAAACTTGAGCATTCCTTCTGCTAGTCTGCAACAGAGGAGCCTTTTCTGTGGACTGAGTGTCCTGCTGCTGGCTGCAGCAATCATCCTCATGAGCTTTCCCCCACATCACAGCGTAGAATCCAATCGAGAGCACCACTGCCCCAATCACACTGCCAAAAAATAATAACAGTACATTTTGGAAAGCCTTTTGAATTGTTCATATTATATGGTTCAGAATCAAAGCTGTACTCAGTTTCCAATTGCTTACCTTCCTACATAAAGCGTGTCACCCAAGAACATGGCACCCATAGCAACTGCAATCACGACAGAGAAAGGCTTGAACATCACTACGAATACTGGCCCCTTCTTCCTCACTACCCACGCACGAACAACGGACTTCAAGCACGACCCAAGTAGCCCCTACAGAGAACATACACATCAGGAACAAGTAATGTCGATGTCTTCAGCCTCTGAATTTCTTGAAAACCAAGTCTCGAATCGACCTCTTACCGTGCACAACACCGAGGCCAATGCTACATTAGGCCTCAATATCCAGGCACTTGCAGAAGTTCCTTCAGTGTACAGAGCGACAATCGTGGCTGTGATGGTCACGGCTATGTTGCGGAAGAACACTACCGTGAGTTCAGCAGGGTAGTCTGTCAGGATTCGATTCTGTTTCGGATGGGTAGCGGAGAAGCTTTGTCAGTCCAACTTCCGTATGGACTTGTTGAGAAGGAAGGTGGCAGGTTAAGAGAGGAGGAAGCATTACCAGAAAAATGTATCCCAGGGAAAATAGAATGTACTCACAGGTGAGAAAAATCCCACCAAGGACCCAGTACTGTGCTGGTGAGCTCTCAAGGGACTGATAGAGTTGAGCCAACGACGAGGACGATGAAGAAGCAGCAACGAACATCGGAGCACCCTTGTAGAGAGTGACAACAAATGCACCTGCAATTGACACTATTGTGCCCAACACTTTGGCCTGATGGGATCTTCTCCTCAATACTACTTTTTCCATCCTTGCATTTCAAACGGAAGTAAGAGGTTAGGAGTGGCGAGACGATAATATTTCATTTCATGGTTTACTACTTACAACATTGCCAGTAAAGAGGTAGCAAATTGAATTTGTAGATCGTTCGTGGATTCGGTTATAATGCGGTTTGGCGAGTATTTTGATCATTTGTTATGTGTAAGCACAACCTGGAAATGATTTAGTTCTTACACGAAAAATTATCGAACCATATACTATATATTCCTACCAACCCATATCGACACCCAATCCTCCATTGAATTTGCAGGAGCAGGAGGGTAACAATTCACCTGAACATGACAGCCAATACGAAGGTGAAAGCTGGAGTGAGGTTGGCAATGGCTGAAGCCAACGTTGGAGAGCTGTAGCTGATGCCTGCGGATCCCACAATCGAAGATGAGCCCCTGCTCCCCAAAACCAAACGTCTAATTGAATCCTTGCTACGTGATCCAAGTTCCAGCCTTTACGTCGATGGGAATGACAAAAAAAAACTTACACAATGACGCCGAGAAGACCGATTTTCCAGAGTACGGAGAAACTCAGTGGAGGAAGAGCTGTTGATCTGCAAATTCAACACACAAAAGCAAATTCAGCCAACCCTCTCAACATAGTTAGGGAAACGAGTGAGTGGGAGAGAAAGAAAGGGCAACAACCTGTGGGAGAAGAAGGGGGCAGGGAGAAGGACAAGAGCAGCAATTGCGTATGCATAGACAACATAGACATAGTAGCTCATGCCCGCCGTTGTTGCAGCTTTGAAGAGTGTGTTCAACCCAACATTCATACACTCCATACTCACCATCGCTGAGAATGGCAGCAAATCCCCATAAACAAATCTTCCTCCTCCCGCCATTTCTGATGAATTTGCTAAGATGTTTATTGATGGAAAGCTTGGTTTGATACAGAAGATTTCCTACTCTACTTATACAGAATGAAAGAACATAAACAAATGGAGTAGCATGTGTTGACTGAAGCCTATGTGCAGAGCACACGGAGTCTCTTCACTATTTTCCAGCTCACAAGAGTAATTGTTGATCCAAGAAGTAGTTGTTGATGGTGGTTGGTGGCTGTTGAGTATTGGATGGTTTCCTACAATTTCTCTCCTTCTCTCAAACTCTCTGCTTTCTTTCCTCAACAGAAGGAAGGCTTTCCTCCACTAGACTAAGGGTCGTTTGCTTCATGGATTTGAAAAATGAGGGTTTTGATAAAACCTGGATTTTGGAAAACCATGGATATATGATGGATTTGGGGGCATTATGAATTTGAACAAGTCTATTGTTTGCTTGATGGATTTGATTATGGACTTTGTTTGATTAGATTTGTGGATATTAAATACAAATTACCTTGTTATCCTTATTTAATTATATTTCTATATTATAATCTAAATATTTCATTTAAAACTAATCTAAAACATAGAAAGAAATTTTAAACTTGTGGATTAATAATTCAACTACAAATATAAGAAATGTATTACAATTTGGCACTAATTAACAATTCATCTAATAATGTACGCATTATTATGTATCAATTGCAACCAATTGCTCGCTTTATTGCTACAACTCATCATCTTCTTGCTAACTCACCGATGTGGAATCCTACAGTCAATCAAATAATAATGCACAAGATGAGCATAAAGTGTTTCTAGGTGAATCTAAATAAAATAGGATATTACAAAACGAAATGATAAATTCACATATTTATAAAATACGAAATTATAAAAGTTTATAGTTGCATGATCATTGAATTAAAGTAGGACACTTTTGTAATTAAATAAATAATTAAGGGTAGAAAGGTAATTTACCATCATGGATTTTAATCCATCACCCAAATCCCACCTCAAGAGGTGGAACTTCCAAGTCCGTGGGGTCCACGGATTTGGAACCCCAAAAGAGGTGGGGTCCACAAATTCCATCTTCCTAATTCCCTAACGCAAACGATGGATTTCGGTTCAAGTCCATGAAGGATCTATTTCCATGACCAAATCCATCACCAAAACCCACAAGCAAACAAGCCCTAAAGTTCGCAATCAATCATGACATATCTTATCATATATTCTTATTCCACGTGGGAAAATGTTTGAGATGAATGAAAACATAATACAACCCCACTAGACTTTGAAGAAGCTAAAGAACAAAGAACAAATGTAATAATAGAAAAAAAAAATAGTTTAATATGATATGATATGATCAATGGGGTTATATATTTATTATGTTACTAATCAAGTATTACCGTACTAATTAAGGTAATAAGGTTGGTAATGTTTATAGTAGAATTGGTAGTATTTTACATTCAGTAAGAAGTTGTTGTTTCGCTAAATATCTGAACATTTTCCTATACCGTAGGAATATTTTTACAGATCGTAGATATTTTTATATGAAGTAATACAAAAAAAATAGACTTTTGATTCCTCATTTGATGTCCCACAATTTTCACCTCATAGGAGTGTTTTTACAATTAGCAATGTTTTGCATTAACTAAGGTGTTGTTTTGAAGCTCCAAATTTTGTTGGGTGCTTTCTGACTGAATCAAATGTAGGTTTTTTGTGTGTAATAGTTCGCAATCCTGAGTGTAATAATGTTTACGATATTGCGATAATGTGACAGGTTAGTAGTGATTTTATTTTCGGAATTGAAACCACTTTTAGCGAAAATCCCACTAAGTCTGCATGTTTCATTTTCCCTATATATCAACACTAATTTTGTATTATTTTTTGTCTTTTAGTTATATAAAAGTCTTAGTTCTAGATTTACTATTCATTAAGAGGTAAAATTATAAATAACACACAACTCCAAGAGCAATAGTCTATTAGAGTGGAGTGGATCCATCTATTCATCTTCGTTTCCTCTTTTTCAATTATTTATTATTTATTTCTACTTTTTTCTTCTATTCATAATTTTCTATCTTTATTCCTAAATCTTTTTTCTTTTATTCATATTTCTATCCCCTAATATTATTTTTGATTTGTTATGGTGTTGAAATGAATCTATTTGTTCGTATTAGCCTATTTAATTTTACATCTTTGGTCATCTTTCTCGCTCGAGCTCAAATAGCAAAAGCATGGAGAAATTTTCTAACATGGGTTCCCATTCTTTAAACGTGTTTTGTTGTTGTTGTTGTGTTAAAATCGACATTTTGTTCGTATTCGGTTTTGTATTCTTACTTATCTCTTTCTCGCTCTCTATTTAAATGGTGAAAGTGACATCGAAATCAACAAAACCAAATGTTAAATTATTCCATTTTTTCCTCTTTCTTATTTTTTCATTTCAAATGCAGAAACTTCGTAAATTCTCTAATTAACAATTGTTAAGTTTCATATATCATCCATTAATTATAACTTCGTTGGCTAGCGAGTGCATATTACTATAAATTTTCTCCGGCTCTCCCACAACATTTTAGGGATTTTTCTTGTTGTTCTTGGAATTATGTTGTACGAGTTATATTTTATCAATTGTTTCATACGATTCAATTACAGTGCTATCCTCCATTCGCCACGAAGCGTAAGCAAACGAGTATATCTTGTGTTTCTATAATTGTAACCATTTTATCTAAAATATGAGCAATTAAATTAGATGCTAGTTAGCATGGTACTAATTCTTATAAGTTTAGCACCCTATCTTCTCCCATGATGTTATTATATTTGAAATCATTACCGCTAATAACATATGAGTATGACTACTTACTTAACAAAGCCCAAAACAAAAAGTCCTCTTCAGATAACTAACTACTCCATTAACAATTAAGCATCCAATGGCGTCCAATTAGTGCAGACGTATACGCATGAAAGATTTGATCCGAAAAATCAAGCAAAGAAGATCAATGTGAATCATCATAAATATTAAAAAAATGCCTCAATTAGTAATTGCAGAAGAATTTATCCCTTGCCTTGTGTGTTTGGGATGGGGCATTTAATAGGGGTGTTCAAATGGTTACCATGGTTATTACCAAATCAAATAAGACTAAATTTCATTAACCATGGAATACAATATCATAATCAAACCGTCCAAACTAATACAACAACCAAATTAACCAAACTAAAGTTTAATCGGTTTGGTTAATTGGTTAACCAGATTAACAAATATAAAATCATATTATCATTAAGTGAGAAAATTTTCGGTTAATTTATCAATTCACAATTTATATAATGAATAAAATATAACAATCAACACATAGTTATAGTTGACCCTTAACATAAATACATGCAACTAAGACAATTATCTTACGGTTAGTATAGAAGTATTCACCAAACAAAAATTTATCACAATGGTATGGGTTAATGAATTGTTGTGTTTGTTTGAATTGACTTAGTCTTTTAGCAATTTTCATAGGCTGAAAAGGACATTGCTTTCAAGTTTTCATCCAACATAATGTATGAGATTTATCTAAATTAGGCGTTCATATGTTGTGGTCTACACTCTACATATACAAATATAAATTATAGGAACAATATCAAGCTTTATATTTTATGAGTCTAAAAGAATGAACGTTCAACTCTTGAGTGGTTATTCAAAGTATTAAGTATGTGTATATATTAGATATATGACTAATTATTTATCTGGTTAATTTGGTTTGGCTGGTTAGGAATGTCTGAAACCAAACCAAACCACCTAAACCAAACAAGGTAAAAACTTTAACCAAACCAAACCAATTATCCAAATTAACCAAACCAAATTATCCAAATAGTACTAGTTAAAACGATTACCATAGTAACCACACCGCTTGAACACCTCTAGCAACTTGCCTCTAATTTGTGGCTCATGACCTGCAATTTTCTCTTGTGTGACATTTTGTGGCCTTTCTTTACCGACAAGACTAGTGCTTCCCCGTGTCTATTTTTGGATGTTGATGTTTCGGGACCGTTTTCCTTCTTTCTTGGTGCTGGTCCTGTTTTTGTTTGTCTGGTTCTTTCCTTTTGTTTCCCTTTCAATAATATTATTTGGTAAATGTCATATTTGGTCACTATAATTACTAAATCGTGTTATGTTTAGTCACTAAAAAAATTAATATCAATTTGGGTCACTCAAATTACTAAAACAGGTCATATTTAGTCACTCTCCCGTTAGTCGCCGTCCCAACTCTGATCGCTTGAATTACTTTTTTTATGAATGTCACCCGAATTACTGAAACATGTCATATTTAGTCACTCTCCGTTAGCCTCCGTCCAACTCCGTTAATGGAGTTGGACAGAAACTAACGAAAGAGTGGCTAAATATGACATGTTTCACTAACTGGAATGACCAAAATTGATATTATTTTTTTTCTAGTGACTAAACATAACATAATTTAATAATCTCAGTGACAAAATGTGACATTTACTCAATATTATTTATATCATCATTAGCAAATAAAAAAAACATGTTAATAAAAGACTTCAGCAACAACAGAATCCCATAGACTTCCAGACTCCAGTTCTTGTTGTGGTAAGTAACAACTTAGAATGAGAGGAAGCCATCACTTCCAAAGGGAAGTGCTGACATATTCAGTGATGGTGGGTATGCAATTCTCCACAGTTGGGATAAACACACTCTTCAAAGCCGCAACAATGGAGGGCATGAGCCCTTACGTCTCTGTTGCTTATAGCTATGGAATCGCCTCTCTTCTCCTTCTCCTTCCTACTCTCTTTTCCCACAGGTTTTCTTCTGCTAATTTCTTCTTTTCTGGAAATTCTGCAAGTTCCCCCACAAGTTTGAGTAACATAATCTTTTGGGTATGTTTGGATGCATCATTTCGATTCGCAGTTCATCACCAAGAGCTGTTGACGTTCCTCCCCTGACCATACCAATCTTGTGCAGAATCGGCCTTCTGGCACTCGCAGGGTAACTTTCTTATGGGAAAAATGAGATACTTCATCGCACATTTCGATCATTCATCCCAGTAACCCAAGTTATAACGTGCAGACATGTTTATCGTATGCAGAAGCTCGTCCCGGCTGACAGGCTTCACGGGCCTTTATTACAGTTCCCCAACCCTGTCGTCCGCCATCGGCAACCTCTGTCCAGCTTTCACATTCATACTTGCCGTCTTGTTTGGGTAAAACTAAACTCTCCAAGCCCTCCATTCATCAAAACGCATCTCTGGCTCCTTTGTAACTTGTTTCCTTTGGGGAAAAAAAGGATGGAGACAGTTGTGATGGGAAGAAGATCCAGCCAGGCCAAAATATTGGGCACAACTGTGTCAATAGCAGGCGCATTCGTCATAACATTTTACCAAGGTCCGCCGATCTGTATCACCCCATCTGCATCATCATCTCGACTCGGCCATTCTCTAGTTCATTCCACAGCAGCACAAAACTGGGTTCTTGGTGGCAGTTTGATCACTCTACATTATGCACTGGGTACTTTGTGGACGATTCTCATGGTATGAATATAGAGTGTTCATAACTTCATATTCATGAACTCCGACAATGCTATGATACCCCAGTTACAAATCAATTTACAAGTTGGGGGATTTGTTCATTGTTGGCAGACACAGATAATGAGTGACTACCCTTCGGAGCTCACAGTAATCTTCATCTACAACACATTTGTAAGCATTATAAGTGCAGTTGTTGCTCTGTTTGCTGAAGGAACATCCTCGAGTGCTTGGATAATGAGCTCAAACACCACACTAGCCTCAGTCATTTGCACAGTAAGTGCCGTGGGAAAATACATCAAACCATGTGAACGGGAAACCTATGTACTCGAATGAAGGAATGATATCAATGGAGGATCATTGATTCTATTCTTCGGTTGATTATGGTTTGAGTAATTGTACTAAAAATAACAGGGGGTGTTTGGATCGTGCTTGAACAATGCCGCTGAAGCATGGGTGCTGCCGATAAAGGGACCCGTTTTTGCTAACATGTTCCTTCCGTTTGGAATGGTGATCGCTGTCGCCATGGGCGTAATGCTGCTAGGTGATACTCTGCATCTTGGAAGGTAACTTACCAACCTAGTATATACCTATTCAAACTAAGATTTTCCTTTGGTCAATCTTATTAATGAATACAACTTTTCAATTTGGATGATTGTACTCTCCTACTTTGCCAGTCTCCTCGGAGGGACAGCCATATCCATCGGCTTCTACATGTTCATGTGGGGAAAGGTGAAAGACCAAAACGATGACGGCACCGCAAAAACAGAGCAGAATGCCGATTACCATAGTAGCAGCAGCAATGCAGATAAGGTTCCATTACTATAAGCTACCTAGGAACAGATCGAGGCAGTTTAAGGCGGAGTAAAGTTTGCCTCAGTTTCAACATTTCCCCCCATCTGCATTGATCCTATGAGCACGATGCTACGATGTAGAATCTTCCATGTAAATTCTAATTGATAAGTTGTAAAATATTACAACCCCACAACAATCCCACAATCAACAATCCAACGATCCATTTGCTAGCCCATAAGCTCACCAAGCTGGCGCAAACTTGATCCTAAAGCTCAAAGTAGGCAAGTAGCTGACAGAAAGTTGGAAGCAGCTTCCCACAACAAAGAGTTTAAAAGTAAAAAAAAATCATTTAACATGATAACTCACTGTTAAATCCAATTCTATTTTCCTCTGTAGAGATGTGAACATAAGATACTATCTCAATCAGTCATGTATCTCATCAGCATTCTAAGAAGATAGTGTGGCTACAGAAACAATTAACACCACCTAGGCCCCAGAGTAACTATCCCAGCTTCCTAGGCAAAAAAAAATGGAGGAGATGAATGGTACATACCAACATCATTGTTTACCATGACAAGCCAAATTTCACTGCTTTTCTCTTTCACGGCTTCAGATCATCAGACATTGTCGAAGGTATGCAATGCATTGCAAGGATATCTAATGTTGCAGCCTTCGCCGTCTCTGTTTTTACAACCATTACCTGGCAAAACAGGTCAACGAATCAATAAAAAGTTATCGGGGTTTTGTTATAGATGGATGGATGGATGGAGAAAGAGAGAGAGCAAACGACCACCTGTTGGTATTCTAACTCAAACTTCAAATACTCATCCTTGCAGCTTTCCACCATGTTCGCCAAGCACTTCAGGTTCTTCACAGGTTTCCCATTAAACGTAATAACCTATTACAACCAACAAAACAATAAGCTTACTAAAGTTCATTTCAAAGCTTGCTAGAGAAATACTGAGAATAATTTTTAAACAAGGGTACCTGGGTGTTGACAATATCCTCGTATCTAATGTTGATGTCAGCAACAAGTACCTAGTACCAATTTCACAAGCATATATATCTCTAGTGAGACCTGAGAAAATGACTAATTGCCCTTTCAGGAAGATGGCAGAGACTATACCTGTGAGATAACAACTAGCTTTTCATCTGGAGATTCAGCCATCGCATGCATATGCCGGTCCTATAGCTTCACTGGAGCTTCATATTCATAGTCCTTTCCATACTAGAGAGAGTACAGTGCAGAAATTGAAGTCAGGTATCAACAAGGGTTGAAGCTTCCAAATTTTAAAAGACACAAACCATTTACCACACTAATCAAGAAATTAAGTCCTATGTTGATTACGACAGTGTTTCCATTAAGATAGCCAAGTCAATATGCTTAAAATTGCAATTTACCTCTGAGCGCAAATATGGAACTGATACAGCAGAAAAAACAAATCCAGCAACAATGTAATAGGAAGGAAGTTTTCCATTTATGTGTGCTGGAATGAGCCTCTTGTGTGGTTGAAGTTTGATCTTGAACTCAAGTACTTTAGAACCACGCAAAACTTTCACCAAAGCCTTGTCGCCAGTGTATTTTTGAGAAACTAGGTAACTGAATCCTATGCGTTCACCATCTCTGAAAGGAACTGCCAATTACCAAAGCAATGGTAAGCAAGCAACAAAAGATGGAAAATAATCCTATACATTCCATGTAAGAAATGACAACTCGCTTAACTGAAGTAATGGTACAACCCTGAGAAGCAGCCTTTGAGCACATACTTATTTCAGATCACAATACACTATATAGCAAGAGAAAGAAAAAGATTGTTTTCAGAAATGATCCTGACATGAGTTCAGAAATCTAAGATTCTTACTTGTTCCGTCATTTGCTATCTTTACCACATCGAAGCTAAGGAGAATATCAGATAACTTTAAGACTTCAGATTCAGGAGCAGTTGGCTCAATTCTTCTAACACGGACACCCTTCTGATCAGATGCCATTCCCATTGCTACCCTCAAATCAAGATAAGTAGAGGTGAAAGAGAAACAAACCTCAGCAGAAACCATCGGAAACTAATCCAAGCTATATTTTCACTATGCTAGCACGTTTCATTCTATAATTTCATCAAGTTGGTTGAGAATAATGCTCCAGAAAGAGGGACAGGTACCTGTATAAACCCCATTCTTCTCATAATCACCAATAAAATGCTTGATAGCTGGTGTCGGTATGACATAGCCAATATTTTCAGCATCATCATGTTTCAAAGACTGAAATGCAATGCCAACGCACTTTCCTTTGTCGTTGAATGCAGGCCCACCAGAGTTTCCAGAGTTTATAGCTGCATCGTCTGTGATTGATTACATTCAAACAGTTAGTGAACTATTTTTTGAAAGACAATAACAAAAACAGAATAATGACATCACAAAGGCAGAGATAAGAACCTGCAGTCCTAGAAGCTCGGTAGTCGCATGGACGTAAGACAGCACCTCTATACGGGAAACAACACCACTTGTCACAGAGATTGTATCACCCCCGATGGGGTAGCCTACAACAGTCACAGCATCTTGAAGTGCAGGCAAATCTCAAAACTCGACAGGTGTAACACCCTCACAGAACTCATCATCATTGACAGTCAACAATGCTGCAAGATCGATAAACGATAGAAACATAATTATTATTATATAATTCCAACCACTTCCTCCATAAAAGAAGAAAATCAAATTCCATGCATCACCATTAACAAGCAAATAACAAATGACACAGATATCAACCCAAACAGAACTTCTGTAATGGCTTGCTCGGAGTCAAACTTAATTGTATAGCTCAGACAGTAAAACTCATCGATGATAGCTTGATGTGTGTAAGTTGCCACGCCAAAGCTGAGACATCACAGCTAGAAATAGAAATTAAAAAGCAAAGAACTTCGAACACATACCAATATCACATTCGGTTCCAATGGCCAAACAGTAGCCAAGTACTTAGTATCAGAACCCCTCTTCTTGAGCTTCACCTGAGTATGATGCTCCACGGAGTGCGCATTTGTCAGCACCCTCCTTCCACCAATGATAAACCCACTGCAGCTTGAACTATACTGCCGCTTCCGCTGCCAGGGAAGCGAGAAATTCGGGTCCGTATGAACGCAGAACACCTTCACGACAGCATCCATGGCCGGAACAACTCGAACCACAGTCTCCCACTCCGTGCCAGGGCCCACGGAACGGTTCACGTGTCCGTTCTGCTCGGCGGCCTGCTGCTGCCGAGTCAGCCGCCTCTCCGACACAGGAGACATAGGTTCCGCCACCCTATCCTTGCGTTTCGAGGACTTCTTAGGTCTCCCCCTGCCGCGGCGTGGAGATGCATCGCCGTTGTTGGCGGCGGCGGGAGGAGACTAGACAGCGTGAATAGCAGTGGAGGGTTGGGGAGCGGCATCGTCTGCAGGAATGGCAATGGGCAGATCAGGCCGGGTTTCTTGATACCCAGACCCATCTCGTATTCCCGTGGCAGGTCGGGTAATTTATCACGGATTACGGATTACGGCAGGTCGACCCAATGAGTATGTAATTTATATGAAAAATATTATAAATATTCGTTATTTTTATTATAAGACGAAGGAAACAAACAATATGATGATAAATATAGTTAAATTATTGGAGAAATTGAAATTTTCACTAATTTTCATCTTAATTATAACTAAAATTTGATGTAATAAAAGGGAAATCCTAAGTAATTTGACAAAAATTACGTGTAATTTAGGCAAGAACGGGTTGAGAATGGGGCGGGTCAGGGCAGGTCGGGTCGATGAGAGTACCCATGCCTGCCCCGCCCCGCCTACGGGCTGGTTGGACCCGCCCCAAAACAGGTCAAACAGGTCGGGTAAAACGGGTCAGGTCGAAATTGTCATCCCTAATTGTTTGGGCTTTGCTTTCGCCCCACGGTGGGCGCCAAATTGTTTGTGCCTATTAAGTCCTAGGCGGTTTGTAGAGCGAGAGCAAGGCATCTGTTCTTGGATAGAGGGTGTACTCCAGATTCCCTGCGAAACAAGGGTCCGCAGGCGGTTGCCCAGGACACTCTCCGAAGTTTAAGTTAGAGAGAGAAGTGTAAGAAAATGTGTTTATCGTAGAGAGATAGAGAATAGTTGAGTTTACTATCAATGCTCTCATGGTGCATTTATACCTAGTCTGGTGGTGGGTGAGACATTAAATGCTACATCAGGCATCCCGAGCAGATCAATTCCCTATGCGGACCGCCTGCGGCGGGTAATAAATGCTCAGAGTCTTACCCAACTCGAGGTACGTATCTTAACGGTCTTTACTTTTCTGTCGTAGTCAGTCGCTTTATGTCAGGCGTCCTAGCTACTCCTCGGGCTTAAAGTCGGCCAAGAACCGCCTGCTGTCCTGATCTTTCTGGACGGACCAGATGCTCTATTGGGCTTTGTTTACTAATTCGCTCCTTCTGAGCCCGAGGTCCAAATACGCTCAACTACGTGACCCAACACCTCCTATCATCTTATCACTATTCTACAGTATCACTAATAGCTCACTATTCAACTGCTTTATACTCCCATTACTACCATCTAACTTGAGATTAAACCCAAACTGACAGAATATACAGGGTAGCTTGCAAATACTAAATGATCCTTCATTGTCTTTTACTAAAACACGTGAACTTGTTCATTATTTATTCTGTATATCTGCAGCTGAGGGGCCTTCTCCACGGATTGAGTTTCCTGCTGCTGCAGCAACAACAACTAGCACCACCACTATCCTCCATGATTTACTGTAAAAAAAAACTATCTGTTGATATGACTTGAATCGGACTATCAGCCGTTACGATTGGTAATCGGGGGTCTCGCTGTTATTTGGGTTCGGGTTCTGGGCCTGGTCTGTAACCGTTTCCTTTGTCAGATTGGATTAGGTTTAGACCCACATGGAGAAGTACTATATATACTTCTCATACTCCTCTGTAATCTGTAATCTCCTCGATATAGTGAAATCGGCTCTCTCTCGCCCGTGGACGTAGCTAACACACATCGTGTTAGTGAACCACGTAAATCGTGTGTCGTGTTTTCGATTCTCGCTTTCGTATTCTTGCTTTGTCGATTCCAGCGATTTCCCGATCCGTACCAGCGCGTTTATAACAAGTGGTATCAGAGCCGCGGCTGGAAATCAGGCTAGGGTTTTTTTTCGATTCAGAAGAATGACGTCGGTGAACATGAAGATCGAAAAGTTCACGGGGAAGAACAGCTTCGCTATATGGCAGATCAAGATGCAGGCTTTATTAAAACGGCAAGGGCTGTAGGGGCCGCTGTCTGCGAAACAGAAGAAGGCAGCGGTCGATGACGATGAGTGGAATACCCTAGAGGAGAA